TCTATTTCAGAATAAAGTTGTGGCTTCAAGAGAACAGAACTGAAGTATTGGGAAGCCCACTGGAACCATGCCCTTCCATCCAGCTTTTATTAGCCACAAACCTGCCTTTCAAAATGTCTATCTGACTCCTATGCCTTTCTCCAATTGGAAGAGGGTGGGGGAAAGGGGTATATTAATTGGAATCACTAAAATCCAAACATTCTTGTTTTCTCCAAAATTATCTTAAGACAACGCTAATGCTCTTAAACACACTAATAAATTAAACTATTTCTACATTGAACAGTTTGTGGCCTTTGTCCCAGACTGACAATTCTACTAATGACTCAAACAGTGACACCCTGTTTTAGTTTAAAAATACATGCAGAAGTTCATGATTATCTGTAAGAATAAATACAGCAATCAAAGAATCTACCAGCTTACTTGAACTATATTAACCAGTTTGCCAGTGGTAAGTTGGATGACTTCAGTGTTTAACAGTTCTTTATAAAGTTATGTCTTAGAGCGGTTGGGTGTGATGACTCACACCTGTAATCATAGCACTTTGGGAGGCCAATACAGGTGGATCACTTGAGGTCAGGAGTTTGAGACCAGCCTGGCCAATATGGTGAAACCCTGTCTCTACTAAAAATACAAAATTAGGCAGGCCGGTGGCATACATCCTAAGTCCCAGCTACTTAGGAGGCTCAGGCAGGAGAATCACTTGAACCTGGGAAGCAGAGGTTGCAGTGAGCCAAGATCATGCCACTGCACTTCAGGCTGGGCAACAGAATAAGACCCTGTCTCAAAATAAATAAATATTTTTTAAAAAAAATAAAGTTACATCTTAGAATATTTCAAAATTCAAAAGTGCAAACCTGTATCACAGGCCAAATCTGACCCGGGATCACTTGCTATGAGGGCAAGAAAGAGCTACCAGGTAGACTGTTCATCAAGGCCCTGGGGAGGCTTGCTAAGCTATGCTTTCCCGGCTGCTCACTGGGAGGACTAACACAGCTCTCAGCCTCATGTAGAAGGCCAATGAATGAAGGCCCAAGCAGAAGCCACACCGTGTCAAATTTCCAAGGCAAGTTCCTCTAAAAGGCAATTACAAAAACAGGCTATAATTTGTTGGTGACTGTCAAAACAGAACCAGAGAAAAGCAACATGGATTCATCGATGAAGGTGGAAAACACTGCCTCCACATTTGACAGAAGTGTCAGGAAAAAACAATAACAATTGGGCCAAGATGGCTTTGCAGGACTTTGTTGACAGACATGTTGCTAGATATTTACTAAGAAACAACGTGATGATGAGGACATATTACCTCACTGTCAGGTGACCTGGTTAAAGTCCCAATCTAGAACATAAGGAAAAAAATCTTTTAGAACACAGTATGTACATTTCAAGCACAACAGGTCATACATTTTTAATATTTTTTCTTCTCTGTTCACACTGTTTTACAGAGCATTGAGGGTACAGTACTAGAAGATCATTCTCAGACTGTCTTTTACTATAGGACATGGATATAGGTAACTGCACTTACTATTTCTGCCATGAGGCAGTAACCAATAATTGTCATCACTAAATCCTCTATCAAAATGCTGATTAGCCATTCCCACTGAAACCCTGTTCATCTGGGAGAGAGGAGAAGATCAGCTTTTAGCCACATTCCTACATCTATTTCCAAAGCAGTAGCCAAGAAGGGGTAAATTATGATGACCATAGTAATTAAATATTCCAAACAGAAAATGCAAATAGTAAACACTCTGGCTGAAAACTCAAAAGGAGAAGGAATAAATAAATCTACTTTTGATATAATGTTATTATGACTAAGCATAAATTTCAGATTTAAATAAAAACAAAAATGTAATTTTAAACACATTAAAATGCTGCTAGATTTTTTTCTAATTTTTTTTTTTTAGACACAAGGTCTCTCTCTGTCACCCATGCTGTAGTATATTGGTACAATCATAGCTTACTGCAGCGTGGAATTCCTGGGCTGAAGTCATCCTCTTCTCCAGCCTCCTGAGATTACAGACATAAGTCACTGTGCCTGGCTGCTGCTAGATCTTTTTAAAGTTTGTTTCTACAGTTTAAGATTTCAAAAACAGATAGTCATGATTACTGAATTGAGGTTATTGTTCAAGGTGGAGGTGCCGCATGTGCTTGGGTACAATGACAAGGAAACTACTGGAAACTCACTGTCGATGGATTCTGTAAGTAAGAGCTGACACCCAATAAACAGTCTTAATGTGTTCTAAATAATATCCTCCAGGGTATTATTCTGAACACTGAGAGTATATCAACTGAATGTGTACTAATGAATGTTATGCCCACCTGGCTCTATAAGAGTCTTTGATAAGATCTTTTAAATTAGAAGAGCCATAATTTTTCTACTCAATGAAGTGGAAGTAGCAATTATTCTCTTTCAGTTAAAAATTGTTTGCAATAATATTCTAATAATTTAATTTTACATATTCCAATATGACTGCATTTTGTAAACTAAACTGTGAGGAAACATCCATTCCACCTGCTCACCCTCACCCCCTTGCTCCTGGGTTATGATTTGAAAATGTGGTACAGCCCCATGTTCTTCAAAAGCATGGTATTGTATAAATACAAGGAAAACTTTTAACACAGATTATTTCAACATTTTTCTCATATGATACTAACAAGAGTATAAACTGATACAGTCCTTTTAAAAAATAATTTGGTAATAAAAATCAAGGAATTTGAAAATATTCATGTCTTCTGATCTAGTAATTCCAACCCTGAGAATACATCCTGAGGTAATCATTTAACATGCAGAAATAATCTTATACATACAAATAAGATGTTATTTAAAGTAGCAAAAGTTATAACCAATGTCCAATCATAGGTAAACTAAGGTATAATAGATATGGAATACTATGAAATCAATAAGTTTATACTGAGTTTCTCATAATAGGATGTTTATGGTTTGTTTTTGTTTTTGTTTTGAGACAGAGTCTCACTCTGTCACTAGGCTGGATTGCAATCGGGCAATCTCGGCTCACTGCAACCTCCACCTCCCAGGTGCAAGCGATTCTCCGCCTCAGCCTCCTGAGTAGCTGGGTCTACAGGTGCACATCACCACGCCTGGCTAATTTTTCTATTTTTAGGAGAGACAAGGTTTCACCATGTTGGCAGGCTGGTCTCGAACTCCTGATCGCACGTTCCACCTGCCTTGGCCTCCCAAAGTGCTGGGATTACTGGTGTGAGACACCATGCCCAGCCAATGTTTTAACATTAAGATTTGAAATTTTATGTAGTACAATCTCAACTATATATGATATTTAGTAGGAAAAAAATGTTAACACTAGTGGCTTGATTATTCAGGATTTTTTTTTTTTTTTTGAGATGAAGTCTTACACCGTCACCTGGGCTGGAGTGCAATGGTACGATCTCGGCTCACTGCAACCTCCACCTCCCAGATTCACTGGATTCTCCGGCCTCAGCATCCCAAGGTGCTGGGATTACAGGCGTGAGCCACCGTGCTCAGCCTGATAATGTCATCTTTATACTTAAAATATATGTTTAAAAATTCTATTAATGTGGCCAGGCATGGTGGCTCATGCCTGTAATCCCAGCACTTTAAGAGGCCGAGGCAAGCGGATCACGAAGTCAAGAGATCGACACCAGCCTGGCCAACATGGTGAAACCCCGTCTTACCAAAAATACAAAAATTAGCTAGGGATGGTGGCTCGCGCCTATCTATAGTCCCAGCTACTCGGGAGGCTGAGGCAGGAGAATTGCTTGAACCCAGGAGGTGGAGGTTGTAGTGAGCCAAGATCAAGCCATTGCACTGCAGCCTGACGCCTGGCAACAGAGCGAGACTCTGTCTCAAAAAAAAAAAATTCTATTAATTTAAGCAATGCATTTCAATACCAGCAAAAAACAGAAATGTGTATTGTTCTGTGCTTTTACTTTAAGATTATTGCTATTTTTTTTTTTTTTTTTGAGACAGAGTTTAGCTCTTGTTACCCAGGCTGGAGTGCAATGGCGCGATCTCGGCTCACTGCAACCTCCGCCTCCTGGGTTCAGGCAATTCTCCTGCCTCAGCCTCCCGAGTAGCTGGGATTACAGGCACGCACCACCATGCCCAGCTAATTTTTTTGTATTTTTAGTAGAGATGGGGTATCACCATGTTGACCAGGCTGGTCTCGATCTCTTGACCTTGTGATCCACCCGCCTCGGCCTCCCAAAGTGCTGGGATTACAGGCGTGAGCCACCGCGCCCGGCCGATTATTGCTATTTTTTAACAATATATAATAGGTGGTTGAATATTCAAATTATGAAACTGGGTATTTCGATAAAAATAACAAACATTTCTAACTCTGTAACATTTCAAGAGTTAAATAAGTTTCCATTTGAGGTTATTTTTTCAGCTCAAAGTGTATAAACCAAAGTAATCTCCCTGTAAGATGAGTTTCCTTTGTTAATCTATTAACATTGAAATGGGCACAAACTTGCTCCCAACACCCAAAAGGAAGAAGACAGAAAAGACACAAAGACAAACATACACACAGCTACACAATTAGTTCACTTAAGGGTCACTTAAGGGGTGTGGGTATAAAAAGAAAGGCTGAAAAGTAGAAACATCAAGGAAAGCAGAAAACTCCATCTCTTTTAATTTCTATTGCACTGTGTGCAAGGCAAGACTCCAAGTTATTTTTGGCAGAAATCTGCTTTTGGTAGTTAACCTGTCTTTTGTTACAGGAGTGCTGGCTGTGACCTTTATGATAGGTGGAAAGCTATCAGGTCCTTTCCGCCCCTACACTAACTAGTTGATTTAAATAGCAACTTCTAAAGTCACCAAACCCAAATAAGGTCATTAATCACTTATGGCCCAATAGTGTTCAGTACTAAAAATTTTTCATGTCCCTAGAAATATTTTTCACTTACATATGTAAGAATAGGGCTTTCCTTTGAAAATGTTCAAATAAAAAGATAATCCTAAACTTTCAGCAACCGACATAAACAACTCAAATATTATCAAAATTGTGCTAGCTTCAGTAGCACATATACTAAAATTGGAATGATACAGAGAGTAGCATGGCCCCTGCTGAAGGATGACATGAAAATTCATGAAGCATCCCATGTTTTAAAATTTTTATTAATTTATAAAATATATATATATATATATGCCAGTGTTACGAATTCTATCACCTCAGTAAGGGAAGCAGTAAGCAAATGAGTTTATTTAATTTTAATTTTTCTTTTTTTTTAAGAGATAGGGCCTCACTCTGTTGTCCAGGCTGGATACAGTGGCACAATCATAACTCACTGCAGCCTCAAACTCCTGGGCTCAAAAGATCCTCCTGCTTCAGCCTCTGGAGTAGCTGGGACAACGGGTGGGCTACCACACCCAGCTAACATGAGTTTATGCCATCTAATTGTTTTCTGACACGGATCAGACACAAGGCCATCTTGGTTAAGAGGGCAGGGCACGGGACCAGACATCCCATCACTTATCAAGTGTGTGACTTCATGTGAGTTATTTCTCTTTGGTCCTTGGCTTCCTTAACTATAAAATGGAGTTATGATATACCTGTAATCTTGTGTGAGGATTGACTAATACTCTGGAAAGTCCTTAGACCTGTGTCAGCCACACGATTACTATAATTACAATGTCATTGTCTGCAGCACACTCCCTGGTCTAGTCTGGCCACCACCAACTCTGCTAATGAAAGTGTAAGAAGGAAGGAAGGAACGAATGTAGGCAATGGAGCTGGGGGAGAAGAAATCAGACACAATGAACAGTGTGACCCCATCATTTGAGACAGACTCTGAAGGAAAAGTCTAAAGGCAAGTGAATGGGGGCAGTATCCTAAATGCCATGTGGGTGGATGTGGGAATTCTTTTGTTTGTTGAATGTCCCTCTCATTACCTCATTTACGTACTGTAGCTTAATGCTAAACCACTGATATGGGGGTAAAAACTGTCATCTTGCCCTATTAGAGCCAACATGCAGGACTTGTGGCTGGGACAAAGACTTACCTTTGGTGACCACTACATGACTGCCCTGTTGAGCATGGTGACAATTCAAGGTCACCATGACCATTGGTCATGAACATCATGGACAACCAAACTAGGAACTTTTTATTTGTTGATTGCGTTTTTGCTTTTCTAAAAATTTTAATTCTTCTTGTTGTTTTGGGGTTTTTGTTTTGTTTTTATTTTTAAATGTTTCTTATTTTCTATTTTTTGCTTTTCTAAAAATTTTAAGTCTTGTTCTTTTCCTATACCTGCAAGAACAAACAGTAATTCTTTTTTCTCCTCTATATTATAAAAAATTTTAAACATATAGAAAAGTTGGGGGTAAAAAGTAAACATCTGAATATCTACTATCTAGATTCATTATTAGCATGCTCATTTTGCTTTACTGATCTGGGTGGATGTATTTTTTTCTAAACATGTGAGCATAAGTTGCAGACATTTTGATGCCCTACCCTAAGTACATTGAAATCCATCTCTAAAAGGTAAATAATAACATAATTACCGTATCTAGGAAAATTCACAATCGTCTGAGATTCTGACACTGTTAAGATGCGATAAGGTCTGAAGATAAAATCTGGTTTGTATATTTAACTAGCAGGTATGCTCTGAATTAGGTGGAAGAACCATGACTTGCTCTTCAATAGCATCAGTGAGCTACAGGAGTAAAGTGAGCAGAAAAGCACATGCCTTAGGACAGGATCTTCAAGAAGCACTGTGGCTCTCAAGCTCCTCAAGCTTGTAAAAAAAATGATTGTTAAAGAAAATACACCTAAAAGACTCCCTTGATTATGAGGGTTTTTCCTTCTTGATTTCTCTTTGTCTAGATTTTCCTAATTTTTTACAGTGAGCAGAATAGTATAATTAGAAAACATTTTTAAAAGTAAAAAGTTCTATAACATCCATAGAAATGTTTCTTCACTTTCTAAATCACTGCAATTACCATTAAGGCAAGAAATACAAAGTTGCAAGATTATATGCCAACATTCTGCCTCAGGAAAAACAACCTGTTGGGTTTCTATAGTATATGTATATTACAAAGCTTTATACTCTCTAGGAATGTATCACATAAAATTGGGTAAAAATTGCATTTGTGGTCATTTCTTTTTTATTAATATTACTTGTTTTTGCTTTATTTCACTTTTGGTAGAGACAGGGTCTCACTATGTTGCCCAGGCTGGTTTCAAACTACTGGGCTCAAGTGATTAACCCACCTCAGCTTCCCAGAGTGTTGGGGTTACAGGCATGAGCCACCACTCGTGGCTTCCTGTGGCTGTTTCTCTTTTTTTTTGAGATGGAGTTTCACTCTTGTTGCCCAGGCTGGAGTGCAATGGCACGATCTCAGCTCACCGCAACCTCTACCTCCCAGGTTCAAGCAATTCTCCCACCTCAGCCTCCTGAGTAGCTGGGATTTCAGGTATGCACCACCATGCCCGGCTAATTTTTTATTTTTAGTAGAGATGGGGTTTTCTCCATGTTGGTCAGGCTGGTCTGGAACTCCTGACCTCAGGTGATCTGCCCGCCTTGGCCTCCTAAAGTGCTGGGATTACAGGTGTGAGCCACCAGGCATGCCTCCTGTGGTTATTTCTATTAAAAACATTAGGCATTCGGTCCTTTGATAGAAACATAATAACTCCATATTATAAATGTTTTTATAGAAAAACAGAATCATCTTAAATTTAACTTACTATATCTTTTCCAGGAACATAGTCCTCACCATGAGGAAGTCTCATGTAAATTCACAGGAAATTTAATGGTTACTTTTTGAAGGAGATATCCTGCTTACTACCCTGCTTTTTTTCTAAAGCACATGGATCACTCCGGTTATGAACTAATGTGTAATTAAAATGGTTACTGTAGCCTGGTGTTTGTGTCCCCTCCCACCCCCAGAATCACATGTTGAAATCCTAACCACCAAGGTGCTGGTATTAGGAGGCAGAGCATTTGGGAAGTAACCTAATAGGATTAGTGCCCTTACAAAAGAGACCCCAGGGAGCTCATCTGACCTTTCTGCCATGTGAGAACACCAATGAAAAGACTGGTGTCTATGAACCAGAAAACAGACCCTAACCAGACAGTGAATCTCCCAGCACCTTAATCTTGAACTTCCCAGCCTCAAAAACTGTGAGAAATAAATTTCTGTGGTTTACAAGATGCTCAGTTTATGGTATTTTGATATAGCAGCCTGAATGAACTAAGACAATGGTTAATGTTGAACATTAGATCGTTACCAATTAGCATTTAAGAGAAAACTGAGGGCAGCCAAGAAGACACTTACTAGACTGGTGCTCTGAATGGGCTCCGACACAGCCTTAGCTGTGGCTTCATCCTGGCCAGTAGCGTTTGACACGGCAGCATTTTCCTGGGCCAACCCAACCAACTGGCCACTACTTGTACTCTTCAGCTTATCTGCAATTCGCTGGTTTTCTTTCTCTAGCTTGATTTTGGCTAACTGTGCTTCCAACATCCAATGTTCTTTTTCCTGCTCCAGTTTAGAAATCTTTTCCAAACTTTGTTGAACCTTGAAAAGTAACAGAGTGTTGTATCTTAGGGAACAATGCAGATAAAACTTAGTGGCCAAAAAACTATTTTACAGAATGTAAACCAAAACTACCCCACAGAGGTAAAAACATAATAATAAACCTTGACCTTAGAATAGGGAGAGATTTATTAGACAGGATACAAAAAGCACAACCATAAATTGAGAAATCAAACTATAGTAAGATTTTTAAAAAAATTCTCATCAAAAAACATCAAAAGTGAAAAGGAAACACAGAATTGAATTAGAATCTGTAAATCATTTATCTAACAGAGGCCCAATAACTAGAACATACAAAGAATTCTCGAAAATCAGTAAGATAGGCTGGGTGTGGTGATTCACACTTGTAATTTAAGCACTTTGGAGGCCAAGGCGGGCAGATCACCTGAGGTCGGGAGCTCAAGACCAGCCTGAGCAACCTGGTGAAACCCCGTCTTAGAAAAAAAAGAAAATCAGTAAGATAGACAACTCAACAGAGAAAAAAGGCCAAAAAAAAAAAATAATAACAGACTTGAACAAGACTATAAACAAATTAAAAGGTATGCAATGTCACTAATTATCAAAGCACAGCAACTTCAACCATTTAATTAAAATTAAAAAAATAGAGAATACAAAAACTGTGGAACAATCAGAACTATAGGTTGGTGCAAAAATAATTGTGGTTTTGCCAATTTTTTTTTTTTTTTTTTTTGGTGACTGGTTAACTTTAATTTTCAAAATAAATCTGCAGTATTTTGCATGCTAGTAATACAGTGCTGGTATTGACAGGTAAAATCATCATCTGCTTACATAGAAACCTTCATTTAGGAGAACACTGTAGGAGGGGAATGAATACACAATAAAAAGCAAATGTGGGCCAAACAGCAAGCCCTAGAGTGTAACAGGCTGGATGTCAGATTCGAGGATTATCTAATACAACTGCTTAGCTGCCAATCTGATAAAGGGGAAGCTCTCAACCAGGTTACAACCAGAAGGGAAAAACATACTCTGCCTTTTCGTAGACCAGTGGCCGTCATGCCTTCAACACCTGGTTGAATCAGTTCATCAACATCAAAACTCAATTCCAGTTCCAAGACACAGGAGAGTTTCACCACACAACCTATTCAGTCCCCCTTTTCAGTGGCCCACCCACAACCCCCTCCTGCCATCGACTCTCTCCCTCCCAAAAGAAGACATGACGTGGCTTTATTATTGCAGACAAGCTTCTTAAGTGGATAAAGAATGCATACAAAATAGCATTTTAACTGAAGTCATACAACGAAGTCTCACTCCTGTTTATTATACAATGAATTAATAAAACAATTATTTCTAGTATATATCTTTTTTTTCTTAAGAACTAATACTTTCAGGGTTCTGACAATCACATTCTAGCTTAGGGGTAGGGCCCACATCTGCCCCAACTGAGGACTGCTCCTTGGACCACTGTGGAGGAAGCCTGGGCTGTCTGAATCATGGATTATGACTGTCAGCCCACCAGAGATAACAGATCCCAGCAGGCAGAGCCAGAACCCAGTTTTGGGTCTGCATGCCAGGAAATACGGACTTCCTCCAAATGTGACCACTATGCTCCCAATCTAGGCCTCAGCAAGGTCATTCCTGGGCTTTCCCTACACGAGTCCTTCCAATAGTCCACACATAATGCTCTACATATTAAAAACAAACCATTTTGTACTGTGGATAAGAACATTTATAACAATGTCATAGCTACATATTTTTCTCTACATTGTTTATTGAGACAAACTAATTAAAAGGCACAAACATAGGGCATGTTTACATGGACATTATAACAAACATATACATTAAAAGTGTAGGAATGTGTTGCCTTCCTGCTAAACAGAAAGTTCCTAAGCTTTTATATATACAAAAGTTTTATAATTTAATGTCCTAAAGTACAAAAGATAATTTATAAAATTATTTTACAGTAAGTACTATTTATTTTATTTTTTTACTATGTAGATCAACCCCCTAGAACTGTTTTGTATAATGACACACAGATACCTGTCCCTGATGTAGGAAGTCTGCCTTAGATGCAAGGTATTTTGATGCTTGAACTGACACAGTGGTGTATAAACGGAAATCATCCAGTATGATAGTCAGTCCTGCAAATATTCTGCAAGATTAACACAACTAATTTCCATTTCGTTTAACTGCAGTGATTAAATGAAAAAAATATATATATATATTGCAACTTAAAAAAACAAAAGCACAGCGTCCTGGTTTTAGTGAACTTTTTTTAACACAATGCCTTAAAAACAATGTGTGGCATGATGGTGTCAAGACTTTCTGTTTCCCTACCTTTTGGTTTCCACTTTATGTACAGAGATAAAATATCCTGCTGAGAAATAGAAAGCACATGTCTCAACGTGCACAAACATTGCTGGGTTTCTACAAGGAGTACAGAGAGCTGTCACCCTGAAAACACCACAAAGCTGATACAAGTGTTTTCTCAAAGAAAAAAAAAAGTGATGTCCATATTTACAAAGCTGAACAAATCTGCATGATACTTGATTAAGAAACGGAAGGAGAAATTTAAAAAAAGATACACTCTGCATGTTCTGAAGGGGCATACTACCTAGTTAGTGGTTAGAATAAAAACTGTATACAATTTAATATAAGACATAAAATCTAGTGAGCAACTAACACATCTGTCCCTGTTGTAACATCAACAGGCTCTGACTGGGGGAGAGAGGGGCATATCACATCCCAGTGCCTCCAGCGTCTTCCAATTTAAAGCAATATATTTGAACTGTTCCAAAGTACTCTTTGGCTCCTAAACAGGAGTCCCATCAGCCTGTTTGTTAGGAGCCTGCCTGTCCACACACTTGACTTCTCCTGTTAGTTGAGGCTTTTCTTAGCAAAACACAATTTGTAGAATTTTTTTTATGTTTTTTTTTTTTTTTAAAAGTCAACTACAATGCTATATTCCATCAGGATTAATATGCTGAGCAATATTTACATCTCCAAATATCAGGTCACAATCCCTATTATATGTTGGAGTTAGAATGATAAATTATCATATGCTTTGCATATCAGAGCTGGTATCACCTTTCCCATAGGGAATGTTGCCTGAAATTAACATATTCCCAAAGGTAAAATGCATATTCTCTGAAATGCATTTTATTATGACAATGCATGTATTTACTCATAAAAACAATAAACATAGACAATTCTATACTAGCTCTCAATCTGTGGATTTAGAATTTCAGGTTAAAATCAGCCATCCACCCTCGTATAAGGAGAAGAGTTCCGCTATTGTTCAGAATAAAGTGATTTCTTGGGATTAGAAATAGTAATGCTGTTTCTATTTTGAAGTGGGTTCTACTTATTTATGATTGCTTTTAATTCTGGCATTTCATCTTGCCAACTACTATCCTGTTTAAGCAATGTTGTCAGCTCAAAGGAATTTCTGATTAAACTAAAGTGGTCCAGTGATAAGTTACATACACACCCTACTTTGAATAATCCCAGCCAAATTGGAGAAAAATGCTACCACATTCTTATTAACTGATGTAATAAAATCTCCCAATTTCATGGTTTACTTTTTGCTTTAATCAACTAAAAGTTAAGTTGCTGGTAAATATTTACTTTAACCCATATTTTGATTTTATAATACTGTTTACCAAGGCGGTGATGTAGGCAAAGCTTGGGGCAAGAAAGGCATGCTCTCTACAGGTCTCATTGCTATGTTGAGAGGGGTGGCTAAAGTCATAGGTGTGGGCAGATTCATTGGAGATGTGATGGTGACAGGGTGTGCTGTATTCACTGGGGCAGTGACTGGGGTGGGGAGGTTGACCGGGGTAGTGAGTGTTAAAGGAGAGGTCATGGATAATGGACTGGTTGTAGTTACAGGATGCCCTATGTTCATTGGGCTGGTTATGTTAACAGCACTTGAAACATTTACTGGACTTCTCATGCTCATTGCAGCTGCCACTGTGACTGGGTTTGACATAGTCCCAGATGACACAGGGGATGTTATATTGAATGGAGTAGTGAGAGTCACAGGTGTCGTAGCAGCTGTGGAGGTTTGGCACAGGTTAGCAGCTTCTTTCTTCCTTGCTTTAACAGCTTCTTCCCACAGTCTCAGTGTTTCTACCTGCTTCCCTGGCCAGCTTGTCACATGTTGTTGTTGCTGCTGCTGCTGCTTCTGGTTGCTGGTCTCTTCACTCATGCATGTTTTACTGATGCCTTGTTTACATGTATTACAGTTGAGACTTTGGCTCTGCCCATGAGTCTTTAAGTGGCTGGTGATATACGCTGTACTCAGGAGCTTCCCACAGATGTTACACGATACCTTGCCTTCATGGTGCACCATGTGTGTCCGCAGTCTGTCTTTGGTGGCAAAGGCAGCAGTGCACGTTTGGCATTTGAAGGGTCTTTCTGTTGAATGGACATGTTTTACCTGACAGCTTAAGTGGTCAGGCCTTGAGAAGCCTTTCCCACAAACACTGCAAGTATAGGGTTTGGTGATGCCTCCTTCATGAGACCTCACATGGTAAGTCATCCGGTCCTTCCTCTTGAAGCGCTGATTACAAACAGTACACTCGAAGGGCTTCTCATCTGAATGGGAGAGCTTGTGCCGATTGAGATGGTGCACATCTCTGAAGGCCTTCCCACACATTTCACAAGCATGGTTCTTCTTGACAGGCTTACTGGGTTTCTTGACAGACTGGGTCACCGGCATAGCTGTGGTGCTGGCACTGCTACTGGGGTTGGTGCTCGAGGAAGATGTAGTGACTGTTGACAAGATGCCTGCAATAGCTGAGACCAACGAAGTTCGGCTGCTGTCCTAGCGATGGTGGAGATAAGGGGAACCGCCATGGTGGGGGTTTTCTTTGGCCGGGACACCAACTTGATCCCTGTGTCACAAGATTCGTGGCACCTCAGGTGATAGCTGTCCCTGAAAGCTTTACTGCAGTAAGTGCACACAAATGAAGTTTTGGGTTTTTCTTTTTTAATCCCAATGGCATCCTTTAATGTTTCTGGTGCACCCTGAGGTTTCTGAGTTATTGGTATTGGAAGCAACGGTTTCTTTTTTTTGAGACAGAGTTTCGCTCTTGTTACCCAGGCTGGAGTGCAATGGCACGATCTTGGCTCACCGCAACCTCCGCCTCCTGGGTTTCTGATCGGGGGCTCCACAGCAGAGCTCAGGAGGGGCAGCAAGCTGTTCTGTGCTGCCTGCTGTTGGTGATGAGAAGCTTCACTGGCCTGCAACAGGAACGCGGTCCAGTTGGCCTCCATGTCTGCGGCAGCCGACCCCCTCCTCCCCACTCCCCCTGCTAGGGAAGCCTCCTCGGCCGGAGGAAGCGACAACAAAGCGGCGGCGGCAGCGGCGGCTCCTCAACATCCATTTTTTTTTTAAAGTAATAACAACTGCAATTACTTTTGCAGCAACCTAATACCATATACTGTGCTGAACAAAAAAAGCCAGACCTGAAAGAGCATAATTGCATTTAATAAAAAGTTCAGTATCAGGCAAAACAAAAACAAAAACAAAAAAACCTAATCTATGGTGCTAAAAGGCAGGAGAATGGTTATCTTTGGGGGAGAGGAGAGTAGTAACTGGAAATGGGCATGAGGAAAGCTTCTAAGGTCCTAGTACTTTTTAAGGTATATCTTTGCTATGAAAAACTCTCAAATCATTTTTTCTCTGTTCTCACACTGTACAATCAGTACAGAAGACTTCTGTGACACCAAAGTATGTGGGGATATTTCCCCACCAACAAACAAGTCATCGGTTTTGTTGTGGACATCAGGTGAGTGTCCTCCAATTTAATTCCACCGCTATCTACATAGAGATTGTGTTAGATTCCACAGATCGTGAGCTCTGTTCCCAAAACTGCCTCCACTGCAGATAGCAGTCACATGTCTGGACCTTAAGAACTTGTGACTAATCAGCTTTAAGTTGAGGTTCCCATGACTCCCTCATTGAGTTTGATTAATTTGCTGGAGTGGCTCACAACAATCAGGGAAACACGTTTATTGATTTATTACCAACGATACAGATGAATAGATTTACGGAGTGAAGTAGAGGAAGGGGTGCAGAATTTCCATGCTCTCCCTGGGCATGCCTCCCTCCAGGAACCTCACGTGTTCAGCTATTCACAAGCTCTGAAACCCCGCCCTCTTGGGCTTTTTATGGATACTGCATTGGATAGGCATGATTGGCAACCATGAAGAAATGTCATTGGATCTAAACCCAACAAGCCCTGATGGTTCAGTGGCTCACGCCTGTAATCCCAGCACTTTGGGAGGCCGAGGCAGGCGGATCACTTGAGGTCAGGAGTTCAAGACCAGCCTGGCCAACATGGGAAACTCTGTCTATACTAAAAACAAAAAATACAAAAATTAGCTGGGTATGGTGGTATGCACCTGTAATCCTAGCTACTCTGGAGGCTGAGGCAGGAAAATGGCTGGAACCCAGCAGGTGGAGGTTGTAGCAAGCTGAGATCACGACATTGCACTCTAGCCTGGGTGACGCAGCAAGATTCCATCTCAACAAAACAAAACCCAACAAGCCCTGTCTGTTTAGATTCTTCTCTGTGCAGCAGCATTTCTTCCTCTAGGGCATGGGGCAGGAACTCCTCTAGAATGAGGGTCTAATGCCCTATAATTTGATTAGAGTCCTGCCTTAGGCAAGTAAAAAGAGGGCAAGAGAAGGTCAGAGAGAGAGAGATTCTATTTACTGTAACAAGGACTATGGGAGTTACGAGTCAGCAACCGTGGACAAATATATATATATAGTTTTTTCCTTTTTTCTGGAAAAGACAGTGCCTCCCACTCCCACCAACTCCCCAAATTCAACTGACCACTAAATATTGCAAATATTTCTTTCCTGCTCCTTAAAGAAATGAAAATAACTCAGAGTCACTAGCTCTTGCCCCCTCTTTTACTTTAGCATTTCAAACATTTAAATCTAGCACATAAAAAAAAGAATTAATCATCGTGGCCAAAGTGTGTTGACATTACTTTAGGTCCAATTATAACACCAATTGAATCAAGATGGCTTAGAGTGTCAACACGTTTTTCAACAAATTATGTCTATTTGCTTTTTAGTATGTATTTTTTTTTTTTTTTTTTTTTTTTTTTT